CTTAATTTGTATATTACACAAATGTTTCCGCGAACTGACAGTTTTTAGGTTAGAAAGGTGCAAAAGTGCAGAATCACTCCAGCATCCCCTTAAAGAAAACGCCGCATATAAAAAGTACCGCGTAAATCGAGGCATGAGTTTATATTTGAAAGCTCTAATAGTATGAAATTATAGGCAGAAAGAGCTGAACGCTACATCGTAACTTGCATTTCTAGCGAATGATGTCTGATTTTGAGTATGATATTGAGTACTTTTTGGGTGGTTTCATGGGGAGTGAACTGCATGAAAGAACACGCGAAATGTATAAAACAGAACAATAATAAAAAGTTTTATTGTTCGAAGTGTTATATTTAAAAGGATGGCACTTACATAATTTTGTGTATAATAGCGAGCAGTATTCTGGACAAGAAGAGATTATAGAAATTCCAACTTACAGAAGTACACCATTCGCAACTGTAATCGAGTACATAGTCACATGATCGTGCTTCGCATTAAATAGACAGGGGGGGAAATTTTATGTTCCACAATATTTTTTCTGTACTTTAAAAGGCACAGAATATGGAGTAGATTATTTTCAGTGTGCTACGATCAATCGAGAAATCAAAGGGTATTTACTCCACGAAGAATATATATTGAAAGGACTAGATATTAAGCACTGCTGAGTGTTATAGGTGTCCGCGATGCTGAGGAGATGGCAAGAGACGGTTACGTGCAAGGAATGATTCGACTTGGTTGTAATTTACTATGTACAAAGAGCGTACTGTAGTGGTAAGGTTGATTGGACGTAATGTTATCGAAAATAAAATAATTATAGCGGCGAAAGAAATTATTTTGAATGTATTATAAAAAAAAGAAGTCGTGGCTATTTATATTACTGAAGGTTTGGGTAATGAAATACTAAATGCAAGTGTGACACTTGATTAACTTAAGGTAATATAAACTATGACAAAATTTTACAATAGACATTGAGATATTCGAATGAACTCATCCGCGAGTTGAAGCGCAGCTTACAGACACTTCAGCATATCAATTATATATTTTTTATATTACACTAAAATAAAATAAAATAATGATAGAAAATTCTGAAGCTTTCACGTTAGAGGAAATCCGATTGAAATCTGTACAGTCATACACGGCACATTCAAACTGTTGTATCACATAAATAACTTTCGTATACGAGAGAAGATTAATATCAAAACTAAAACTCGACATATAAATAGCATTCTATTTCGAATAGCGTGTCTATTACGCGTGGAATTCTTGTTGTCTTTTGTATGCAAGTGTGCACGAGATATAACGCACGCTTGCAGTTTTACTAGGCTGTAGTGAGAAGCTGTATGTACATTCTGTTGATAAGAATCACTGTGAAAGCTAAAGGTGTCCTGTAACTTTGCGAACGGTCCAGGATCGACGTCACGTGTTACCTTCGATTAATTGATCTGTCAGTACTCTACAATCCAATTGCAACAGGACATCTACGAGTTATTGTCAAAAGTGTCACAAATCGGAATCGTAGTTTACGAATCGGTATCGTGAACCGCCCGAAATGTCGATTCGAGTATGACTGACATTGGCCAACTTTGTCGCACTACGACTTAATCAATTCGTTCGACTTAAGCATGACTTATCGCGTCTGTTTGCTCTACTTCAACACGTGCGTGCCTACGGGGTGGTCGTGTGTTATAGTGCCTAAGGGTTGGGCTTCTTGGCTCGTGGCTCGGTTGGTTACGTGGTGGTGTTCGCCTAGGGGCACTCTGTTTATATCTAGATTGGTGAAACAGACCCTCCTTTATTTCCCCAACTGCCCGTACGGGTCTGCTAGATTACTCACGTATTGCGTGGCGTGACTCGTCGTCGGGAATTCGGCCCATTTCGACAAGTCGATGCCGGGTAGAATACCGCTACGACATGGGACTCGAGGATTTCTGTTACAAATTGGAGATTCATGTATGCTTTATTATACAGGGTGAGTCTTTCCATATCCGACAAAATTTTGGAGAAGGTAGAACGGATCGAGATGAACGGAAAAGTCCTGTACCATTTTGCAATTTTCGTAATAGTTAACGAGTAATTAATTATTAAAAATCGTTGTCTTAGGCCGGCCTACCGCCCAATTGGAGCGCGTGGCAAGATGTGACCGCCCGGCGATCGATATTGCTATGCGCACATCTCGCCACGCGCTTGAATTGGGCGGTAGGCC